TTCTGTCCAGAAAAGATGCCAAATTACATTATATTTCTGGACTCTGAATCCAAATTGTCATTGCTGTATGGGAAAGGTTTGTGTGTGACAAACTTACCATGATGAATTGCATCTACATAGCAGAAGTACCTCATGACCACTGAGCCTGAAGCTGTGCTGGGAACTATATAGTGTAAAAACAGATCCCAAGAGTTTATAATCCAAGCAATTAAGGCAGAAAAAAATAGATTCTTATTACAAATAAGCCTTATAGGCACAGTATAATAGATTTTAATAAGAACTTATCCATTATTGCACACTGATTTTATCAGTGGTTTTACCTTCTGATCCAGAAAAATACTGCAGTGTGACTAATTCCTCCCAGGGAAGAAGAAAAGGAATTAAGAACAGCACCTTTTAATAGGAACAGTACCTCTTAATCAGAGTTTATTAAAAGTCTTGCTATTAGGGAAATGCCAAAGTCCAGATACAAAATATACCTGCAGCAACATAGTTTTCAATAAACAAATAGGCATTTTTAAGGCTTCCTTAAATAGATTTTAAGAATACATCCTTGAGGCCAGCAGTATCAAACCCTGTACCAAACTCTGAGGGGTACACTTCTGTGCTTGTAAATCTGAGTTAATTTTCTCTTCAGCTGTCTGGCTTCAAAGACCTACGTGCAATTTAGTCCTTCAACGTGAAAATAAGGAATATGAATAGTTAAAATGAAGGATACATTACGTACAGTTCTGCAATCAAGGAGGAAATCAATGCACCTAATGTCTATAACATTATGTAAAGGATTTCTACAGTCACAAGTGGAAAGCTTGGTATTTCCTGGAATAAAAATTCCCCATAATGTCAAGCTTGTACCTTCAATAAGAGAATAAAAAGTGTCCAGACCAAACGGAATCAATAACCATGCTGGCAAAAACCACCCCAAGTATTAGGTGTTCAGAAGGCACAGAGACATATCGATGATAAAAAGTGATGAGTTTATGTCACTTAAAGTGACAAGGAAGTGTGATAATAAAAGACTTTCCAGCAGTAAAGATGGATGAGATCCCCCAAAGCACACTGAAAAGAAGATAGAAATACGTTCTTTGCACTTTTAATAGCTCAGCTCAAGGAAAGTAGATTGAAAGCAGGGTGGAGGGAATAGAACTAAGTAGAGATCACAGATAAACAATGAAAGAAAAGAAAAACATGTTTCTAAATTAAGATAAAACCTTCAAATCCCACATGACTATCTATATGGATATATGGATAATGGCAGTAAGTGGGACAAAGGCCAGAGAGGGAACACATACCGTGACCCAGGTAGACACAAAACCTAAAGATCTTACATGCTTTTAAAAGCAAGCGCTAGGCAATCTCCATCCCAGGCTTCTAGAACTGACACATGAAGTTACAGATCCAGGAGTAAACAGTGACAATAACTGGGAGGTAGTATAACATGATGAGAGCTGCAAATTACTGCATCTATATTTAAGCAGCAAAGGAGAACATGACACAGTCAACTGGCCTTGATGACATGCAAAGTTTAAAGGTATAGCTATAGATACACACTTTTGTAAAAATCAAAGATACAAAGTTTAGCAAGAAAAATGAGATATAATGCAGCACATTTGTAAAAAACAGACATTTGTCTTAGATTAGATCCATTTTATTACCTATATTTAGAACAACCACTTTTCTTATTAGTCTGGACTTAAGAAAAGTACTTCATGTGAGGAGTTAGTTAAAAAGGAGATAAGAATACTATTGTATTGTACACCAAGCCAGGGAAGAGACAACATAGGAAGCATTAGGCTAAGGGAAGGTTGAAAGTGGTTTCATTTCATAACCTTTCAAATAAATAGAGGCGAGAGGGAGGAAAGAAAAGAGTGCACAGGTCCGGGAAGAGCCCAGAGCTAGAAGACAGCAGCTTTTAGATTTGCTATGGAGTTGCCCAATATCACACAACCATTTAAGAATAAAGGAGCAAAACAAAAGAAGAAAACTTAACACAATTCCCTGTCCCTTTTAAGTGAGACGACCTGTCAGGTTTTTAACAGCATGTAGATGCCTAACTTCCACACCCTCAAAAAGCAAAGTGTAACCATTTACAAAGCAGCTATGGGGCCAACATTCCTATTACCTCTATGAAAGCAGATGTTTAAAAGGCTGCAAATATGCCTTACAGGCCACTGGTTATTAGGAGGTACAAGTATTTCCTGTATTTTTCATGTATTCAATCTGAACACATGGGAGCCTGAAGGCCAGTGTTCTTAGACACTGCAATGCAATAAGTCCAGCGAAAATCCTGCCCCTGGAACTGAAATAGGAGTCAGTGCTTCTGAAGTCCTACCCAGCTTTAATGTGATAGTGTTAAAGTACATAATTAAAGAGTTCTGTCCAACAGCTGAGATTCCTGATTTAAACAGCATCACAGACAAAATAAGATTTCAGTATTAATAGCAATTACTGCTTTTCTGGAAGGATGGAGTGTTAAAACACACACACCAAACTGGCATTTCAAAGTGCCAGGAGAAGAGATTTTACATCATTACTACAGCCCATCTGCTAAACACAGAGCAACAGATGATGAGCACAGATCACTCCTGACTTCAGGAAACTTATCCCAACGTTCCTGTATGTTACAGGTTAATCAGGTGACATGCATTACAGACTAGTAGAGGTGAAACGAGGTTAAACCCATGAAGATTGATGTAACGTCCTCATTTAGAGCAATTTATTCTTTTCATTACAATTATATTTGTAGATGCTGAAAGTCCAGACTAGGGCAGGTACTCACATAAGTCAATACACTAAGAAAGTAGGGTATTTTTGCAGAGATAAGGAAGAACATAAGGTCCTTCTTACCAGCTAAGGGTCCCTTTTAAAACAATTTCCCTCAATCTGATTTGCTTTACAATTACACTAAATCCTGCCATGATTTCTCTCCCAGAATTTGGCTTTCCTCAAGGAGGTGTTTTTCCTTCCCCTGGCTACTGCCTTCATTATTGATTTTTAGATAATCCTTGCAGTTACTAGAGAAAGGTTTTGGCAAGTTTCCCTCGAGGCCTGCAGATGCCTCTTAACCTTATCAGTAGAGCATCCTTTCACCCCCTTAGCTACCATCCTCAGTTACTGTTTGACTATGCATGTATTCTGCCCAGGGACCAGCAGGGAGAACATTCAATATCCTCTCTCTAACAAACAAGAAAGGCAACAGCTGCTGGGCCTCAGCAGAGGGGCTGCTCAGGGAACCTGTCCCAGAGAGAAGTCTGCCTGGACCCACTGCAGAGAACTAAGGAAGTCCCCTCCCCATGGCAAAACGTGAGAGGAGGAATTTGGACCATTTTGTCCTCTCCTTACTGGAAGGAGATTATCTGAAAACCCCTTTTAACCACTGCAGAACTGCAATCAAAAAAGTGCTTTCATTGACATCTCTACACAGAGAGGTCATGTCAGAGAAGGGGGGTGCTTTCGTTAGAGAAATAAGACTAAATATTCTGTTAACTCATAGAAATCACAGCCCTGAAGACAGGGCTGCTGCTTTCTGAGAACTGACTGATGGGCTGAATTGAGAAGAGAAGCTTAAAGGAGCTTGTTAGAGCTATCAGTGTGAAATTCAGAGCTAATACCTGGCAAGGGCTGCCTGGCTTGTGTGGGGCTTGGCCATGGATGTTGCTCCAGCAACTGGGAGATCCAGGGGTACTTACTACAGGGGGTTGCTATGTGACCATCACTGCCAACTTTGTTAGGTGAGACCAGCCTAATAAAACAAGTTAAATAACTTGGTTTAGTGTTTGCCGGTGGCTTTTTTCTTTTATTTCAGGTTTTCTTTGTGGGTTGTTTTGGTTTTTTTTCCCCCCTTTTTTGTTTGTTTGAGAAAAACATCAAGTCTGGATTTTATTTCATTTTTAAGACAAAGAAGGAAGAATTGAATTATAGCCCCCAAATTTTCCTCCAAGTGAATGCCAAATCTCAGAAAACACAAAGCAAATACAAGGATGCCAAGGCCCATTAAACAGAATTCAAACATCTTCCCTTTTCTGGGAGAGGGGCTGGCAGTCATTGCCAGTGCAGTGTTAGGAGTGGCAGTCCTAACATTGGCATGTTAGGAAAATGGGGTATATACACTTCACAGCGAAGACAGGGAGAGAGACTGAGCGGCTACAGAGCTCCTTTGAAGAAGGAGTTGTGCCTTATCTCCCAAACTGGGTAACAGGCCCCTTTAAAAGGAGCTGTGCTCCCCTTAGGCTCCAATTGCTCCAGCTGCCACTCAGGGAAAGGGACAGAAATGCTGAGGGTTAAAAGCTGCCCCCCTCCCTCCCTCCATCCCAAGCAATCAGGAGATGAGATGACACAAACTCAGACGATGGCCCCAAGCCAGCCCCTTAAAAGGAAGCCAGGAGTGTTTAAGGAAGATCGCTGGAGCTGGGATCTGGCTGGGGCCCATCTCTCCCCGACAGCAGCCGCTGCAGTCCCAGGGCTGCAGGAGCTGCTCTGCACTGCAGGGAAAAGGGAATGCCGGGCTGTTCTCATGCTGGGAGGATCTAACACTTTCTACCAGTCATTTTGCTGGCTCTGTTCTTGTCCCAGCTTGCTCAGGTTCAGCAAGGCCGGGACAGAGCTAGATTGGAGCTGAGCAAATAAATACCCTTGCAATTCAGAGCTCCTTTGTTCCGAGAGGAGGAAACTGCTGGTTTTCCACTAGCAGCGGTACAGCCAAGTGTGGGCTGCTATCTGTCTGATCATGACTGATTAGAGTTGAGTGTAATGGAAAGTGGAAGCCTTTTGTTTTGGGGTTGATTGATTTATGATCATTAAATAGGTGCTAGTCACATAGAATCACAGAATAGTTTGGGTTGGAAAGGACCTTAAGATCATCCAGTTCCAACCCCCCTGCCATGGGCAGGGATGCCTCACACTAGACCATGTCACCCAAGGTTTTGCCCCCTTCCTGCACAGTCACTCACTGTATGACAAACTCACATTACTCAATTGTTACTACAACTGCATACAGTTACCTGGCAATAAGCATGTGCAAGTGGCCAAGGGCTCAGCAGAAGAACCTGAACTAGCTGGTTGCTGGGATGCTGTCACAAGCGATTGAGCCAGCTGAGATCAGTGGAATTCCGATTGCTGCTTCTCTGTGGATTCACATGAAAAAGGGAATAAAGAAAGTAAACCACAGAAAACAACCCAAACCAAAGCCAAAAAGAAAAGGAAATCAAGCAGGCATTTCCCCCCATACTAAAAGTCTTTGTTAAATTGTATTTCAACAATTAAGCATTTCAAGCAATTGAAACAACAAAACAATCACTGGTGCATGGAGATGTGTTTGACTAAATCAAGTGGAGTTTTCTACCCAAGATACAAACCTCTGGCACCCTGGGGATCACAAACAGAAGGCTGACAGATTTAACTCTTGCAGCACAAGCGGTTTTCCTGGAACATGATACCAATAGGACTGAAACCTGATCACAGTGTGACTTTCATAGGCTAGAATGTGAATCCCGTTACTACCACAGACACTCTCAACACCAGTACTTAAAGTGACAATTCGTTTCTATAGCAGATCTGTTAAAAAAGTCTCCTATGCGAAGAGGCTCTTGGTTTATTTATAGGCAAACCAGCTGTTTTCGGCATTCCATGATTTAGGCTGAGGTCTGCTCTGAGTCCTGCATGTACCGAGAGAGCCTGGTACAGAGTTACCTTGTGTGGAAGCAAACTGTGTTGCTCCTTTCCAAAGCAGTGAACAGCACCTCTGTCACTGCAGGCTGGCACCTCCTATGGAACACAGCTTTACTGGGGATTGGCTTTAACCACAAGAAGAGCAATAGTTTTTGATGGTGGTGGCAGACTAAGCCAGGTCTGGAACTCTGTTTTCCAACATGAACTAACCCAAGTGAAGAGGGAGCTCTCGCAGCAGCTTTCCTCCCAGTTGCCCTCCTGAAATGCTCAATTAATATATAACAAGCAAAGAACAGCCTCCAGTCAAATCAGCCCATTCATCTGGATAAGAAGATAGGTTCCTGATCCACACACTGAAATGATTCTGCTTCTATCACCCATGTACCCAAATGCAGTACTTTTCTACTACTGCTCGCTTTCACCTATGCTATTACATTGTTAGGTGCAGCACATCCTGCTGTACATCTGCCACTTTATAACTTAAATATGAAGCATTCCATACTTTTGTTAGTTGATTACAGGAATGTGTATCAGTATAAATAGGCAAACCCCCCCATGTTGTTGCATATATAAGTCCCTCCTTTGTAAAGATCCACAGGTGATGATTACTTTTTCATGTTACCTATATTTGTTCTGAAGGGATAATATTCATCGTGACTAGAAGTTTCCAGCTCTGTCTAAACATTCATTCCTACATGGATTCACTCTCTTAAAACATAGCACTGAAACAGCCTACACTTCAGCCCTCTTACATTTTTAAGTTAATATCCTTTTAGATGAGTTTTTGCATCATTTATTTAGATTCATTATTGCTTTTTTCTCTTAAAAGCCATTTCATTTAATGTAGCTACCCCTTAATTTATATTAGGAGGTATGTCCTGTTCTGGCATCATTATCAACATTACCAGCAGCAGCCAATATTTGCAATCCCATGCTGGAGGAGAAATCAATGCCATTCTTACATTGCTTTGCTTTATATGCATACAGACAACAGAGAGTCAAATAAACATAAGCAAGCAATTCCTTCTCCCAGGAATTCCAGTCTCATACCTTTGCCTGGTTCCCAAGGGCCAAATGTCAATCAAGAACAGAGTCAAGACTGAGACAGAACAAGACTTCCTCCTCCTAACAGAATTTCAGACTGAACCTCTGAGTTATGAATCATGGAATGGTTTGGGTTGGAAGGGACGAAATAATCCCAAATGAACGGTCAGAACAAAACATCTTCCCAACACAGGACTTTTACACAAATACTATATAAAAGAATTAAAGACTGTTTTTTTCTGGTCATCACGATTTGGGCTCTCCAAAAACATTTGCAATACTCATCGATCCAGTTAAATCTTCCCTGAGTTTACAGGGGCACATAAAACACGTGCAAAGAACCACAGAATGATACATGCACACACTCTGGTATTAACATGGATTTAAACAATCAGTTTAATGAAACCAGGCAAGTTTAAGCACAGACAAGCCCTGCAGTGTGTTTCTACTGAACACATATTAAAAAAAGACTTGGGGGGGAACCCACTGAGTTTTAACTCTTTTTTTCCCCCTTCATTGGCCAAACACACTCATCCTGCTGCTGAGATGGTGTGTTTTGTGCTGAGCCATTCAAATATTGCACAGTAGCTGTTGAACGGGTTTGCTGTAGGCATTTTCCTATGACATGTAGTAGCTTCCTACATGTATCCTTCACTACTACTCATGACCTTCTTGCTTTGAGAGCCAGCAGGTGCTTTAACTACTGGCTGAGCTAAGCCTGTATGGAGTTGAACTGTAGACTGAAGCAGTCCCCAGTTGGCTCCAGAACTGATAGAACAGGCATACAACTGACAGCCAGACTTTCACAGCCCTCCCCTTATGTTCTGAGTGAACATAAACCATGTGAAGTGTAGAATATGGCCCCAAGGTTTGTAAACCACAGCCTAATCATATGTAGTATATCCAAATGGGAGCTCTGTGTGTCGTTGTCTTCTCTTTGCTTTCTCAAAAGCTGTAACCAACTACTTGGCTCTATTTTCATGCAAGGCTGCCAGTTTCTATAAAGGGACTCAAAACCTGGCAATCAGCATGCAGAATTCTGGTTGCAATATCTCTGCTTTGCTGTCTGGTTTTGTAGACACTCATTTCAACTGCTTGCAAGCCAAGGGTATTTTCCTTCGGTTAGCAATTCCATCTTAAACTGTATATAAGATAAATGCCTTCAGAAAAGATTCCAGCTATCCCTTAGGTGATTTGTACAACATGAAAGAGACTTAAAAAGAGAGTTTTTCTCTCTGTCATTGCCAGATTTGCAAGTCAGTATTCTGCACACAGAAAACATGCTAATTTATTCAGTTCTCTTATCTTCCTCCTTTCACTCGGCTGATGCACGGCATGCCAAGTTCACAGTGCTTCCCTAATGATGTGCTGCTGCTCACTTACTCTTCCAAAGGGAACATTCTCCACGTCTATTTAGCAAGATGGCTTTTAAAAATAGGAACACAAAATCTAGTGCTAAGATCAGGATAATTATGGGGGATAGAGCAGGTGCAAGTGTTCTCTTACGCAGCATTTTCTGATGATACGACAAAGAAAAAGTTTACTTGCAAAGGGCCCAGAGGAAGTTTTCAGTGTACTTCTGTCGTACAGCTTGTGAGAACGACAGCAAACAGCCTCCTGTAAACAGGCACGGCCAAGTAAGTGGAAGTGTAATTTCTGAGTGATGCTCGTCTGCTTGATAACATCTTCACTCCAAAATCCACCAGGCTCCTGTCAGATAACAACTGAGATTTGCATCACAGAGATCATGGCCCGAATTCAGAGCATTTAGGCTCCTAATTTCTCCCAGGTCTAGAAGTCAGGACCTTAATTCCTTCCTGATGCTGTTGCTACAAGATCTTCAAAAGCTACTGCTTCAGTCACTACCTGAAGGGAACAGCCAGCCAGGAGCAAACCAACAAGCTTCTCTTTGGTATGACATAGCATAGGAGGGACTAAGAGTTCCCATGATGGATCTACCACTCAAAGGGGACCTTTCACCACTTTACACTTGCCCGTGAGGTCTGTAAATTCACCTCAGTGGTTTCTGGATATGGCAACCAAAATCCCCTTCATCCTCTGAGTACTAGGAAATGTTTTTTATTCCATTTCAAAAGGCCAAATTATACCAGACAAGACTGAGCTTTCTGAAGAGGCCCAGAAAGGTGCCTGTGCCTCCTCAGCTGCACATTGTCCCCAGATTTCCCACTTTAATCCATCTCCTGCTGTTACAGGATCCCCAGTTGAAGACAGGAAATTTAAAGACAGCAGAAGTGTGACAAGTGGGAATAAATTCAGAGAAAACACACCTCAATTTAATCTGTGATGTACTGAAATCTGGAGTGGGGACCAGACACATAACCTTGCATGCATACATAGCTCTGTACTTTGATGGCATGATGATTCCAGAAGTCAGCTCACAGTGTTTATATGCTAAAATATCATGTATGAGAAATGTGTTACTGTTTAATTTGCATTTTTTCCCTCTTCCCTGGTGCTGAATACATAAGAGAGATTTGAAGATCAGCTTTCATTTAATGTCCCATCACAGGAATTTTGCCATATTGCTGAATTCAACACATTAATGGGGTGGTTGGTTGGTCCTGTCGAATCGCCCCAAAGTCGGTCTAACGACTGAGGTTAGATATAAGGAAGAAGTTCTTTACTGTGAGGGTGCTGAGGCGCTGGCACAGGGTGCCCAGAGAAGCTGTGGCTGCCTCATCCCTGGCAGTGTTCAAGGGGCTTGGAGCAAGCTGCTCTAGTGGAAGGTGACCCTGCCCATGGCAGGGGGTTGGAACTGGATGAGCTTTAAGGTCCCTTCCAACCCAAACCAGTCTGTGACTCTATGTGTCTTTTATGCAGGAACAGACACAGGTTTTTGACATAAGACAGGGATGCAACCTCTGCTTTTAATGAAAAGACAGGATCCAGTTTTGTATTTAAGTTCTGGCCATTTGGTGAGTATACCAGATCCATCAGAATCCTATCTGTTTCAATCCTGACAGGATTTCTGTCATATGCACCATCTGTGATCAGATATCCCTGCAACTCCTTTCCAATGCTGTAAAGCTGTAGCACAACAAGCCATGCTTAAACCTCTCCACTTCCAAGTGATGCTCTCTTGACTGGGTAACTAGATGATCTTAAGGTCCTTTCCAACCCTAACCATTCTGTGATTCTAACTCCATGCCATTCATCTTTCTCAGTCAGGAAAAACTCTGTCTTTGCTACAGCAAGATGCAATGCAGCCCTAGCTGTATGCTAGTCTTTGTGCTGGCTGTACTGCTTACCTGATATCCCTCCAGGGACCTAGTTCAGGAAACTAAATGGTCAGAAACAAGTGCCACAAGAATCTTGCTTTCAGTTAGCTTGCTAAATTGTCCCATTCTTCTTCCAGAGCTAGCATGAGGCAGGGGATGAGCTCTTTCAGGGG